TCCATTCACCAAAAGTATAATCTAAGAAAAATATCATCGAATATTATATATATGTATATATTAACAATGAAATTTACCAATTAACTTTTGTTCTTTATGAAAATCACGTGTAAATGAATTATCACCAAATAATAATTCAAAAAGTGTATCAACATTAAAATTAAATAATTTATCTGCATATGTTTTCCCTGGATGACTTTCACATGTACATGTACGTAAATAAGTTATATTTTCATCATCTAAATAGAATTAAAAATTAAATTCTTTCTTTTATCAATACAATTAAAGATTTTACCCAATTTGAATGAGATAGTACGTCGAGATGATTCTTCTGATCGTCTCGGAGGTTCTATTGATTGTGTCAGAGGTTCTATTGATTGTGTCGGAGGTTCTACTGTTCGTGTCGGAGATTCTACTGATTGTATGAATGATTCCGTTGAACTATTCGATCTTCTAGGACGTGACTGCAAAAAAGAACAGATGAGTAATTAGATTTTATTCGAAAAATATTTATTACATTAACCTATTAAATCATAGTTAAAGTTTTAAATTTTAATGTAGCAATGCAATTAAAAAGAAAATATACTATTCGGAATGAGTTTTCTCTTTTTTGATGAACAAAAAAAGTTATTGATCTGATTTTCTAAAGTCTAAAACTTAGAGAAATCTTGATTTCAATATATAGCCTTTTGCGAAAAATTTTCTGAAGTAAAAACGCATTGTATTCGAAAATTTTTTCATGGAATTTCTCTTTATGGTATACTAAAATTGCTGGCGTAGCTTGTTTTTTTTTTTTTTATATTTCCATATAAAGAGTTTAAAGAAATTTTATATGTAATCTAATAGTTAAAAAAATACTCTGCATTTCTTTTATATTCAATCGTCCTTTAACTAATATCACAATAGTCAAATTTCGATACAGATTTGTTTGTGATGATATGTGAAGGTTATATTCGATTACATTTTCATTTTCAATATATAGCCTTTTCTTGATATTTTCATATTTTCTAATATCCCAGACGTCTATACATTGTTTACAACGATTTGGAATCGTTTTGATTGCTTAGATTTTTTTTAGATATCAATAATCATATGGAGTCAGATTCAAAGAAAACCTAATGAACCCGTTTTAATATTTCGTTTTTTGTGCAATCACCTTCACGAATATACATAGACAGCTATGTATTAGACGAAACAAAAGAGGCAAACACCATACCAAGAGGACGCTGTGTATCAAAAAATAAAAATCTAATCGAATATTACCTTCATATGTCATAGCAAAAACAGCTATTATTGAAATTTTATCATTATGATATTAGTTGAAGAATGAGAAAAATGTAGTGTATTGTTCGTACTATCAGATTACATGTAGAGAAAATGTCTTTAAAGTTTTTATAGGGAATAACAAAAACAACTTCCGTCACTAGTTTTGATATGCCTTCAATAACTATCATCACTATTGATTTCATAATATTTTAAAAATAATTCTGTAGATTTTTAATTTTCTCGATTTATTTTCTTCTCATATAATACTATCTCATACATAAAATTGAATATTGAATAAGATTAGCTATGAAAATTTGTTTGTTTTTGTTTTTAGTTAAAACGCAATTTACGACGACAGTATTATTTGTTTTCTTTTGTATTTATATCGTATTTCATAATAGGTAAATTTGCCAATAGAAAAAATCACCTCACCTAAATTTGTGATATATTAAGAAAAAAATTAATCAGTCCGTTACTTAGTCCTTGGTAGTATGATAGTTTATTTTTCAAAAAAAACTGCAGAAATCTGCACGAATAATATTTTAATTCTACTTTTCTATGAATTATTTACTCTAGTAAATTTTACCCTATGATCATCTTCATCATTATTTTCTTCACTGTCATCACTTGATTCATTATGAGTATATTGATCAGCCAAAACAAATGCTCGTATTTGTCGATAATCTAATGGCTGCAAACAAAATTAACACAATCATGTTTTTTCTTTTTTTAATAATAATAAAATATTACTTGGTCAAGTAAAGCATTTTGCCATAAACGAAATATAGAAATGAAAATTTTTTCTCTCGGTATATAAGTAGCAAATAAATATTCATCTTGATTTTTTGTTCGCAATTTAATTGCATTTGGAAGAACTATAGCAGAGTTTTCTCTTGTTACACTAATAATATCTTTATAAGAAATACATAACTAAATAAATTAAATTTTCTATTCATATAAGAAAAAAAGAAAGAATCATTTAATCACTTACACGTTGTTCCCATTTGAAAAAACATGCATAAAATAATAAATAATTAAATGAGAGAAAAATTCGACCATGCATGAATACATCTTTTTTCCAAGCACATGGATAAGCTATAAATCATGATCAGTAATTAAAATAATCAAACATATATCACCTACCGATAATTAACTGTTCATCTGATGGTAAATCATTGAATATAGTATGAAAATCTTCATCACGAATTTGAAAACTCTACATAACAAAAAAACAAAAATTTTATAATATCAAACATTTGATATTATCTATTTGATTGATGGGTAATAAGAAAAAAAAGCCACCATCCTCCCCCTCGTCAATGTTTAATGTCAAATAAAATATTCATAATTTAGTCAAATTAATATTTTCGTTTTTCTTAGGTGAAAAAAACCATACCGTATGCAATAACATTGATCGTCGTTTTTTTGTATTGGAATGATTAGCTATTTCAGTAACAGAGTTTGATTTCAATTGTGATCTAGTTAGTTTTCTACTTTTATCAGATTTTGTAGAATTTCTTTGCTGTTGAACATTTTCTTCTATATCTTCATCATTATGAATTTCATGAGGAACAATTACATCTTGTTCGTTATTTTCAATAGGAACAACTAAGAAGAAAAAACAACAATATGAACAATTTTTATTTCTTAAATATTTATAATATACTATGATCATCATCATCATGTATGATACCATTATTATCGAATACGGATTCTTTTAAATTTGTGATTGATGGTATAGTTGATTGAGTATGAATTACTGTTGAAGTTTCTTTATGTTGATATTCATGATGATTCGGTTCTGATTGTTTATTGTTATTATTATTTATATTTCCATTTATATTTTGATTTAATGTCTCATCATATAAATCCAATGTATCTTGTTTTGATAATTTTTTTCGTTTAACTTTTGTTTTTAACTGATCAATAATGAGAGTTGATTTTCGATTTAAACGTCCATGATGAGATTCATGACGATGTATCGATTTTTCTTCAACCATTGGTTTTTCTCGATTGTGATCATGACGCAGCATTTATTTCAATTTTTGTATTTGTATATATAAGGTGAATAGAAGGAATACAAATGAATAGGTTAATTTATAGTCTCTTTAGTTTTCACTTCAGCGATTACATCGAATGAAAAAACAAATGACAATATATGCATATATATATATATATTTTTTTTTTTTATATATATATGTGCATGTTTCTTTTGTTGTGGTAAGCCCCACATGATTTCATTTATTCCAATAGTGTACTACTACGCGCCCTATGCGTACGGTACGTCACGAAAAGTAATGAGTCAGGTGCGCACTCAAGGAATGGAAAATTCCGAACTAATGCGAAAGACAAAACCGATGCATGACGATATTGGTTTTTTTTTCTTAACTGCACCATAGTGACATCTCTTCATAATTCTATAGAGAAAATTTTTACATTTGTAACAGCCACAAATGTTATGAAAGAGGACGTTACTTGAGAACCATTTATTAAACTTATCATGGTTGAATTTTTGCTTTTGTATCAATACTCTCAAAATTTTTTAAATGTAAATACAACAATTTTTAGATAAAATTCATAGAATAAGTGAGTATAAAACATAGTTATATTAGAATAATTATATAGTACTTGCATGATTAAACATTCTTTAAGAAGATATTCAATTAGAAAATTTATTATAACATTAGAGTGTTTAAATAGAATTTAAAAAAAAACAGAAGTTTTCCTATAAGCATGTCGATAATGATTAGAATAGTACAGGTATACTTTTTTTTTTGTTTTGGTATAATTTACATGTTTATTAATTAGAATACAAAAAAACGATATGTACCGAAGCTAATAATCATACTTAATTATAAATAATTGATTTGTTTTTAAATAATTATTAATGATCGATATTGAGAATCATTTTAGTTGATTTGATATTTGATTGAAATAAATATATAAAGTTATTATTTGAGATTATAGAAAATGAGAAATGTTTATTTTTTGTATTTAGTTATTTCAATTATAAATTTTTTAAAAAGTAATTAGTAATGTTTTTCATTTATAGAAATTTTTCTACATTGATCTTAGCCTTTGTTTTAATCAATATTATGGTTTATTTAAATTTGAGTTTAATTAAAAAATATATTTTGTTAATTTTGTGATAGTTCGAAGAGTTTTCTTTATGGACTTTTTTTTTTTTTACAAGGAAATTATTTTTATTAATATACTTATTATTCAAGTAGTTGTTCATTGTTTTATACTCATTATTTTAAACTTTATCGATCTTATTATTAATGTATATATTTTATGATTTAACATCATTAGTTCATATATACATATAAATAAATAAAAAATGGTTAAGAGAACAAATGAGAACATTAACTTCTACTATTGTTCTCTTTAATAATGATCATTATAAATAATCCCTTTTGATACAAATTCGACAATTAAAGTACAAAATCATCAATCATGTTTTGATCTTTATCATATTGGTTTAATTTTTTAGGTAATGTTCCATGAATGATGAGTATCTCGTACATTTGTGCTTATATTGTCGCATTTTGTAGCAAAGTAAAAGGGGTAAAGTCGAGAATGATAAAAGAGGAAAAAGAAAAAGGAAGACGAAAAAACGATCAGATAAATTGCAGACGAATAAAAAGAAAATGAAGCAATAATTCAGTAGTTAAAGAAAATGAATGTTACACTTAATACGATACATGAAGGTTAACACGAAAATAAGGTTAATATTAAATAGGTGGTCCAAGAAAACCAGGAGAAATTTTTCCACCCCCTGTCCAATCTGTAAAAGCATTTACAGTCCTTCCTTGAAATGGTACAGGACTTGGCATGATTGGATTTGCCATAACTGGAGATATCGGAGGAGAAATTCCTATGTTATTTATAATAGGTTGAGCTTGTGGCTGTTGTTGTGGATATGGTGTTGGTGGCATCGGCATACTCATAGGATAAGGAGAAGATACATACGGTGAGGATATCGATGGTGCTATTTGTTGAGGCATCATCATAGGTTGAGGTTCCGATACTTGTTGTGGTAACATAATAGGTGGAAATTGTGGTAGTTGCTGTGGTGGTACCAAAGGTTGAATTCGTTGTGGCGGTGGTATTACCATAGGTGGAATCTTTTGTGTTGGTGATATCAACATAGGTGGAACTGGTGGTGGTGGTGGTGACGGTATCATCAGAGGTGGCTTTGGTGGTGTGTAAGGATAAGCAGCATAACTATTGTTAAGGTAGCCAGCATAATTATTATTAAGATAGCCAGCATAATTATTGTAAGAATAACCACCATAATTATTGTAAGGTTTTGGCAAATTATATTGAAATGGTGGCGAAGGTTTTGAATAGGCAGATATTGGTGGAACAAAATGGTGTGAACCATATGGAAATTGATGTGGAGAATATTGAAATCGTCTAACAGGTTGTGCTGTTGGAGCTGCTCTTATTCTTCGTAATGGACTTCTTATACGTCTTTTTTCACGATGAACAATATTTTGTCGTATTGGAGATCGATATATTTGATTATATCCATAACGTTCTCTAGAATTACCAACACCCATTTTGTTTTATGATGACAACTACTACCTTTCTTTTTTTTTTATACGACTAAATGCATCAAATAGTAGTTTGTTTTATGTATAGTCAACAGAAAAGAAGAGCATAAAATTATGAGAAGCAAGTAATATAAAAGAATAACGAGTGAACAGACATATGAAGCAAGAATAGTCAGTCAGCCAGAACGAAAAAAATGTACACACTTTAGAGGGTAACATACATCAAATACATATATTTCTATGACAATTTAATTCATAATACTTGTTATATATATCTATATATGTATCTATTATCGATGTAGTATACATGTATAGACAAACACTCAATGACATAGACGATTTCTATTCAGATAAAATATTCTGTATAATATGCTTGGAAAATCTAATGAAACATTATCACAAGCCAGAGATTCATTTTATGATGATGATGATGATGAAAATTCAACAGTACCAGCAACACCAGTTATATCATCAATACGTATAGTAACGTCTAAACCACCTATTCATCGTCAACAAAGTCAAAGTAATAGTTCATCTTCACCATCATCATGTTCTTCTGATCATGATGTAACAGATGTATCATCACTTGGTGGTGAACATCATCAAATACAACAAAAACAAAAACATGAAGATCATCGACGAAAATCAGATCATGATCAACATCATCCATTTCATCTTCAATCAATGAGACATGTTTTATTAGGTTCATCAGTTCCAACTAGTCGTCCACCAACTCCTGTACATCCTCAAGAAGAATTAAATAAAAAACATGTTCGAATTATTACTGATGAAACAGATAAAAAACATCATCATCATCATCATCATCATCAACAGCCTTATATTCATGGTCATACAAAAGATTATCGTCGAGTTCGTTTAACATCATCAGCAATTAATCGTCAAAAACAACAACAAAAAATTGAACGTGAAAATTTGGTAAGAACTAAAAACGTTTCCTGTAGAAAAAAAAAAGTTCGTTCTTTTCTTCCTTTCTTTGTTTTTCTTTGACTAACAGCTCGTATGTCTTCCATATTTGATCAAATTACTAATGTTGACGTTTGTTCAAAGGTTATCTTTTATTATGTTTTATTCACTATTTACTTTTCATTAAAACAGAGTATTACTTAACATTCAGCCGTATTTGACCTCAGGATATGAATTTCAAATAGAATATCAAAGAAAAAACGTTAAATGAAATGGTTTGTCACCATAATTTTTTTTCTTTCAATGGAGGCATAACAATTGAGTCATTATAAAGAAAGCTTTAATTACTTTTTGAAATAAAACAATAGTATTTTATTTGAAATATTATATTTTTCTTTTTATTAAAGAAAATCTTAGAACGTCTTCAACATACTCGTCCAACACGTTCTCTTAAACGTGATGAACTTCTATCTCATTATGATCGTCAAATGGGTTATGTATCATATCCACCATCACCAATACCATCACAGATTCATCTTAATAGTCGACCATCAAGTGCCACGATAATGTCTTCGACATTTTCTACATCAGGAAGAAAATCAAATAATCAAAGTCGACCTTCTTCTGCTTCACATGCAATGAATAGTAATAATGTACGTTCTCGTCCAGCATCAGCTTCAACATCAATACATGGTAGTAGTCGTTCATCATCAGCACGACGACCAATATGGAATGATCGTTGGCAACGACATGAATGATTTTTTTCTTTGTTCAATACAAAAAAAAAAAAAACACAATTCACAACAAATCTCCTTGAACTTTTTATTCGTGATAATGTAATTGTCGTTGTTGTTTTCTTTTCTTTTTTTTTAACTTCATTATATTTTACTCTGTTGTATAAAACATATCAGTTAAAATCAAACTGACTATGAATAAATTCATGTTTTTTTTGTTATGAATTTATTTTCAAGACAAATCAAAAAATTTGATATATATTTACATGTATTCTTTTTTTCTTCTTTTGGAATATTAAGTAAATATAAATATATATATAGAAATATGTCTTTTTGATAGCATCTAGATCAATCACAATGATAATTGCCAATTAACAAGAGACTCATGCACACAATAATGATAGGCAAAAAGAATAGAAACAAGCCTAATTATTTTCATATCTCACAAAAAACGATGTCGTATTCAAATGTGCATTATATCATATTGTTTCTTTACATTGACTATTATCTTTTCTCTACTACAAATTTATCATACTAGGTAAAATACGCTCTTTAAATAGACATATAAATTGATCATTTATCTTAAAGAAATAAAAATCTGTACATTTTTGCTTTTGCATTTATGTTCACGCTCAATTAAAAGAGAGATGAGTGAAAACTGAATAGTTTGATAAAGATAACAGCTATCGAATTGCAATTTTCAGCAATTAAATGCGAAGAATTTCGGATCTCTTTTTTCATGATATAAGACGAAAAAAAAAAAAAATTAATTTTATATCCATAATCTTTGCAAAATGCATGAAAACAGTGTTCTATTTCAAGGAAATTTTCTTTGACAAGCATCTAAGATAGAAGGTCTTCAGACCTGTAGTTCAAGGTGCAATTCAGATAATTATCTTGCCACATGTCAATGTGAAGCAAATAAAATCATGTATCTAATCAATTGAGTTATATAGAATTCTATTGATTTTTTGTATAGAAAATTTCTTTAAACAAAACACATATTTAGGTTGTTTAAAACGACGTATCCATCATAGTTGTTATCATTTGTCGAATTTTCGAGCTTACATCCTATCCCTGCTGAATTCTGCCGCAGGCATTAACAATATGTTATTGTGATGATTTAACTTTAAATAGAAGTAACTACTAAAAGAGTCATCGTATTTTTTTTATTAAATCTAACAATGACAAAATGATAAAAGCTTGATATTTTGTGTCCATAAATGAATGCATATAAAAATACAAATAAGGTCAAGAATGGTGATGAGAGTCAGGAAGAAGGTTTTAAGTAAGATCGCCGCGGAAGGTGAAAAATTTCTTAGTAAAGATGAATTTTTGAGTAAGACTAACATTTTACGCGATCATTTACTCTAATTTTACTCGCAACCTCGGGATATAGACCCAGACCTTTTCATTCTTATTCAGACCTGTCTCTCGTCTTCACCATCATTTTTGATTTTATTCGTATTCGTAGTGTTGCTTTTTTTTCCTCAGTTTTACAGTTCATGAAAATGACAAAATTGAAGAATTTTAATATGTGAATATTTTTCAAAACAAAAAAAAAAAGATTAGTTAAATTAAAACAGAAAAAGAAAAATCTCAGAAATTATTTTAAAATATTTATTCTTCACCTAATATAATATCTTACTAATATAACTACAAATAAATAAATAGTGTAAATATTTGAATAAATTTAAAGTGTTGTAATACGTAATGGTTTTGGTTCAAGTTGTTCATCAAATAATTCTTCATAAAAATCTTCTTTTTTTTGTTCGAATTTATAATAATAATAATTATTTTCTTCTTCTGTTTCGTCTTCAATATTCGATGAAGATAATGATTCAGAAATTGATGATGAAACTTCTATTAATAAACGTCGAAATGAATCAACATCGACTTCCAATGTATTAAGTATATTAGATAAATTACGACAAATACGTTGTAAAGAAAGCAATAAAATTAAAATACTATCCGATGTTAAAGATGAAAAATTCATAATCTGAACTAAACAAAATTGTTTAGTCACATTAACAATAATTATTAGAAAAAAAAAAAAAAGAAAATACACAAGTTTTTATCATCTAAGTAAATGACGTACGTTATTAATATCATATTCGATGAATATATATGTTTTTTATCATTCTTGACATTTATTTAATAATAGAGTCCTCTCAAGGAAAAGACTATCTAGGGAATAATATTGTTCATTATAAATAAATAATATGTTCTTAAGAACAAGGACAGACGTTTTGAATCATGTTTTTTTTTAAGGAGAAATTATGAGTTTATGATAATTAAGTGATATTATTTGATCTCAATGCTAAAAAATAAAATGAAGACAAAAATATATATATATATATTTTTTTTTTTTCTTAGCATAATGAAGAAATAATTTAGTAAGCTTTAATGATTTATTCATTAGATAAAAAAAACATTAAACTCGAGTATTAATATAAATATTTAATGAACTCTTCTAAACAAATATGAAACCTTACATGAAAATAAATAGTAGTCGTCTTAAAAATTTTGCTTAATTCTCTATCATTTTTTCTTATTTTCGAGCTTCTATCTATTACAATTTTCATCTGTCCTAACATTCGAATAAATTCAAAATGCAAATGTCAATATTCTATTACCATTTACTTAGTGAGATCCTCTACAAATCCATTCACTGAGATAAATCTTTATTTTTCACATGTCAATATCTCCTTCTCGCACAGTGTTATATACTATTAAATTCCATGTCTGTTAATCGAAGATTGTAGAAAATAAAATAGAAATCAAATTTCTGGCAAATATGCAACTAATTGTTGTAGCGCCTGATTAACATCATAAAAACAAAAATAGGAGAAAGTTAGTATCGATCTATTGGACCTTGAAAAATGTCTTCTTCTTCTTCTTCTTAAATCAAAATAGTTTTCTATAGAAATAGAAGACCGGAGTAACCATGTAAAAAAAGAATATTTCGTCTCAAAGCAATATGAATAATAGTTGATGTTTTCTTATCAGTTCCGGAATTTTCTCATCGAATACATACTTCATATAATTTCGCCACTATATCAAAAAAAATAAATAAATCTTAACTATATTAGTAAAAATACTAGCAGACTTTTTTGTCTACAAGTACTTAATCACTTTGTATGTACTTTATATTATTGTACTACTAATAAATTTTCTCTGATTGATTTAATTGTCAATGTTCTCTAAAAAACATGCTTTTAAATATTTTTAGTACATATATACTATTAAATTATAATTTTCGAGAAGAAATAGTACTTAAATCAATTTCTGAAGAACTTATTTAATTCTTTGTGAGAAGATAAAGAAAAAAATTTTATTCCCTTTCATGAGAATGTTTGCGATTTCAATACTTTTGTAATTTGAAATCGACACAGTTGAATACATTCTATTCAAATTTTTAACATGTGTTTTATTTTTCTATATGCAAACAATTTTATATACAAGTCGTTTTTTTTTTTTTGGAAAATGAACTATTTCGAATCGATTCGATTGAGATCTAATAGATTTGAGACAATGTGATTTTCAATATGACATCATTTGATAGTTGAAGAATAGGTTTTGCTAACTGTAATTAAACTGAAAATTCGAAAAGTGATGTAAATGTGGATTTGAATATTAGACATAAGATGTGTCATCTATGACGCAAATAAACATACATTAATCATAATGTGCACACTCTTAAAAAAAAGCAAATGTTTCTTTTGTTTGTTTTCATTCTATTGACAATAAAAATTGATGTTTCTTTTTTGGATTAAGAAGAACATGTCATAGTTCAATAAGAAAATTTTATTTGTTTTATTGTTATACATTTGGCTTTGCTACAAAGGATAATCGAATGTATTTACAACTTGTTTTTGCTTATATAGCCATCTCAACAGTTTCAGTGTGTTAAAACAAAAAAAAAAACAGAATAAAAATGATATATTATAACGAAATGTAAACCTGTGTTCATGTATCAATAATATTTGTCATAGTTGGCAGTGATCCAAATTTTTTCTTTGCATTTTTTTTCTTGCGTGTAGAAATTCAATAAGTTTTGGTGAAGAGGACTCATATTTTTATAGAGTAATATATATATTTTTATATATAACATATTCGATTCAAGGAAGAAACTCTTCTTTTGAAATCTACTGCATCTCTCTTGATTAGATCCTTCTAATCCTTTAAACTCCCAACGATGTATACATATGCCTAAATGAAGTTATTGAACGAAAGTGTATTGTTACATCTATGTATTATTGATTACTTTATACAAGATGTACTACTGATGTTATCTTGATATAAGATTGTTAAAATAAAAATTATATTGAAAAATTTCTTATAAAAATTTTCGTTTTCACAGAAAAAAAAATCCTTCTGATAAAAAATAGGAATGACCTTCATCAGATTTTTCGATTCATTCTTATTCTTGTGGTTATATATCGCTTGAATTACATATTTTAGAATCATTTCTACTGGTTTTTGCCTTTCGACTAGAAAAGAATAAATATCAATTTCTATTCATCTTGATTTCACACATATCCTTTCAATATTTCATAAGTCTTATTAATTATTGATCTCAAAAGTATTTGATTTAGCATTTATTCATACGTCTTATCTATTTTCAATTAATGTAAATTGATACGAACTTTATCCTTCAATTTACCACTTTCAGAACTAAATGTCCATTGACTTTATTTGAACAATGCGATATATGATAAATTAACGATCAAAAAATATTCTTATGGAAATGCTTACTTAGTCATGATTCTTATTTTTTGTCTCTTCTATCATGTATTGAAATTTTCTTTTTGTTTTCAAAGAATTAATTTCATCTTGAAAAGTTATCATCAGTACTGTCTATATTATTCCATCAAATCTAACTCTTATTCAAATAGTTACCTTTCTATCAGTTTTAATTTAAAAGTAAAACATGATCCGATAGAAGACTACTCTATTGATAGTATCGTAAAATAAAAATTTGAAATTAATATGAAAATGAATCACAAACAAATAAGATCATT